CTAAGTAATGTCAAATGAACTCTGCATGTTAACAGGCTGAACTGAGTTGTATAATATAATATTTTAGGAAAAATTAGGGGCATGCGTTATAATCCAGATTTAATCTGTGGTTAAGCAATAGTCTGATCTTGATTAGTGTTTTTTTCCACTAAAAATCTCAAACTGTAGATACCACATACTTACTGTAGCTACCATTTTTGTACATATTGAGTCTTTTTTGGACCAGAAAAAATGTGTCTTATTGTGCTGCTAGTTTAATTTGAAAGTACAATTCTGGCTGCCAGCATGTTCCCATTGCTACTGAAATTTAAAAGATAAAGCATATGCATTGCTTTAGGAAAATGATGTGGTGTAAATAATTGATAAGTCTAAGATAACACTGCCTTACAGTGTGGTGGAGGTTATTCTGAGTGCTAATGAACTACAGACGAAGTAAAGGCAAATTCTGTTATTTTCTACTTCTCTTTTTTTGATTATCTCCTTCTCTTACCAGATCAACCTGGCAAGTCAGAGACTTATCTGGAGGCCATCAGGAAGAACATTGAGTGGCTGAAGAAACACAGCAAAGAAGAAGGAAAAGATGGTGAGACACACTGCCTTACTAGAAGAGAAACCAGCTAAAATCCAAAGTCTTGTGTGTCTGCCAAATTCCCACTTTATCTGTAGATACGCTATCATTTCTATTTTAACAAGTCAGTTTAAACTGTTCTCCCTTCTCCAATCCTTGCTGAGTTTGAAGTGCCAGAGCAAGAAAACATCCTAATTTGCCTCGCCCCCTCAACTGTGATGGGTCACAGACAGGTCTGAGGCGACGCACTAAAGAACACAAAATTTGAAGGCTCCTTTGTTAGCCCCAATTTGCAATTAAAATGAGTGTGGGATACACGGGATGGATGCTTCACTCCTAATCTCATGAATATGGATCATTCTTGATGAGTCTGTCCTAATTACTCGTGATACAGCTTCCTTGTTCATAGACAAAGATCTATTCATTTATTCCCTCCTACCTGTTCCTTAACATTTATGGTGTATGTGTCTCCTGGTGCATAATTAGCAGTACTCTTACAATAACACAAAAAAGCCATGAAATGATCATTACGTCTTTGTCATCAATGTCTGCTCATGTCTCAAGATTTATAGCATTTGTGAGTGTGTATTTATATTTGCTGCCTTATCCATAATGTTGCTGTCAGCATTCATAAATAGGCAGCATGTCACCCAGAAACTACACCAGTGTGCAGAGCTGTGAAAATGATGGTAGTTTCACACACAACAGTGCACTCATCTAACAGGAGAAGCCTGCTGTTGGGCTCGCCACAGTGTAAAATCAATGCCCAGTGGTGCTTAATTAAGCAGCAGAGAATGAAATGTTAATGAGTTCCAACTATTCAGGCCATCCGTCCACTGGTGATCATCTCAGTAGGACATCTCGGGCAAAAAACAAAAGTTGTAGCTCAGTGAGATTTATATCTACACATGTTCAGTGGCCTGATCTAATCCGAGCCAATCAATAGGTGATTCAGCCACTGGAAAAACAACTCAAAGACAAAGACATTACAGATAAAAACAAAGTTTGACCCAGTTTCTTAAGTGCAACTTAAACACAGAAGAAAGAGAGACAAAAAGTTGAGCTTATAGCGCTGCAGAGTCCGGAGCACAGGGGCCGAAGCAGCAGGGAAGTTTTGTTCGGTGCTCATCTCGGACCTGGCTCTATATAGGACACTTCATTAGCATTCTAGTGTGTGTGGAGTGGTTGTCTGGGACAACAGGGGCCTCCCTGCCTGCCTGTCAGTGATCTGGGCAAAGGAGACAGACAGATAATGGTGTCAGAACAGACAAGCTCAGACTGAACACACACAGAGTCCAAATGTGCCTCCAAAATCACCAATTTTCACGTGGTGGGACTCTCTTTAGCTAAAATGACACACCATCAGGACCTACTTTTCTTGCACACCTTGTACCACATTAATCTGCTCTCTAAATTTTCCCCTCATCCTTATTCCCACTATATTTCCCTTCTTTCCTCAGAGAACGTACAGCTGGAGGAGAACAAAAGCCTTTTCAAGCAAAAAGCAGTGTCATAGAAACAGAGTGGGCGACAGGCCATTTATTGTGTTTACTCTACCAGAAGCACCCATTAGGACAATCTCAGCGGACTCTGTGTGTGTGTAAATGTGTGCATGCGTGTGTGTGTGTGTGTGTGTGTGTGTGTGTGTGTGTGTGTGTGTGTGTGTGTGTGTGTACGCCCACACACTACACAGATTAGCCAGAGGAGCAGATGGACGTAGAGGCAACATCCTGGTTTTGGCTCTTGGCTCCTCACAGCCAAGATTGAGAGAAGCAGTGTCTCTAATCACATTCTGTTAATCCCTCACACACGTCATGTTTGTCATCAGCAACGCAACTGTATCTTGAAGCAATGCAATGAATTGCTTATGTTAGAAATGTCATTAGGATGGCGCAGAAGTTGTTGTGTGACTTCTTGGCTGTCCTCTGTCCTTCTGTCCCTGCTTTACTCAGAGTTAGTTGCAGCAGGGAGAAGTGGTGCAGCAGCTGTTTGCCTGCTCTCTGAAACTCATTTGTTACCATGATGGATAATACAGAGTTAGGTTGTGTTCATCTCTAAATATAGCCCCATCCTGCTGCAGCCTTATGGTGTGTGTTAAATGATGATGACTTGTCTAGAGCAAGGTGAATACATATGGTGATTAAAAACTTTTTTTTTTTTTTAAAGATGTAAAAGCTCTTTTAGAATTTGAGGGAGCCTTGTTTTGTTGTGAAATGAATACTATGAATCATTTTATTGTAAGAAGATGGCAATTATGTTTCACTCTGTGATCTTTGGCCTTCTTATTTAATGCTTGTTTGTGGTATCTTCTTAACCACAGACATCGCTGACCTTAATCCTCCCTGATAATGAACTACCGTACCAGATTATGGCTTGTTTGGGTGTGCCTTCTTAATAAGACTTCCTGAGTTTAATGTCTGATCTATCCTGCCAACCACCACAGCCTCATGATCTTCCTCTTTCATGATCTTGATCTCTCAGATTAAAAACCCAAGTTGTGTTTGTCTTTCCAGATTATGACCTGTCCAAGCTAAAGGACTTCATGGACCAGCAGGTCGACTCCTACATTGAGAAAGGCATCATCGCCAAGGACGAAGGCGACACCATCAAGCGGATCTACAGCAGCTTGTAATGCCATCACCCATCCTCCAACCAACCTCTGGCCTAAAAGACAAGACTGAATCTGAATGAAGATCTCTAACAAAACCCTGACTATTTAACAGTTATTTCCCATGGCATGGTAAAGTATATACTGTGTATTTAAAACTACCTGCTTAGGGGAACTCACGCTCCCAGACACTCCCAAAATGTATCAAGAAGGGATTTAATAATCAACTAAACAGTTAAATTATTCTTTACAGCTCAGTAACGATTGATTATATTTGCACGTCAAGATCGCAGAGTAATGATCGCTAGAATATTATTGAGAGATAAATCAAAGTATTTTATGTAACCAACTCACACGTCCAACTAAATGCTAGCATTTACTCCAACCTGACTCCTGTGGGAAATGAATGTTATGAGAGTATGATGCTGTAGCTTTGTTGTCAACTACTGTTTCCAATACATTTTTTGCAACGACATACACATATATCAAATTGTACTCATTCTGTGTAACCTGTCTTAGCCCATTATATTTCTTTTTTCCGGTGTATATGTAAGCTCTTAATGTATCCTTGCTTTTTATTTTACCAAAAATATATTTGTTGTGTATCATGTCAGTGCCCTCCGTACTCCTCTGTTCTGCTGGAATTCTTCTGGGGCCCACTAGGGGGCCATGTATGTATCATCAATTCTCTCTGCATGTCTCTGTGAGTTTCCATTTCCATCTCTGTAGAGAGAGAAGATAAGTATTTTTAAATGTAAATATTTGTGATTTTTTCCTAAAGTTTAAAAAGCAATTAAAACATTGTCTTTTCTTTATCTGTGTACTTAACTGTGATTTCCAGAGGCACTGGAATGAAAAAAAAAAAACCCTAATCACAGACATCGACATGCTCACAAGAAGAACAAGAACTTGTGTTGTCATAAAAGCACTTTGAGATCTTCATGTCTGGTTTAAATACATATTTATTCTCATATTCCCAAATAAAACCAATATAATTTTAAAGCACAGTAAAACAGCAGTAATTGACAGTTCTCCACACACATAAATAATGCATTCACACCTCAAAAATAGAGCAGTCCCTTCTGTTCCCAAAGAATAAAAGCTTCTATGAGGCAAATGGAACGTGTTCAAAGGCTTGAGTCCATCCACCGCTTCTGTTTGTGGTGTGCTCATCACACAGGGTAAACACTGATGAGGAAGGCCTGAATATACTTTCCAATGATACTATTCTAGGAGGGGATTTAGAACATCAGAAGCGGTTAGCAAGTCTAGCAAGCTAATCCTTCTGGAATTGCTTAGCGCTGTGTGTGTGTGTGTGTGTGTGTGTGTGTGTGTGTGTGTGTGTACAAATGCAGCAGGTGGATTCTGTACAGCAGCTTCAGAAGCATATGATGAGTGGATGGGCATGTGTTGCTCGGATGACATTTATATCAGATTCTTCCCTGCACTGTAAAGTCTCCCAGTAGAACTGTACAAAACAATAACAATCATATACATCATCATAATTGCATATCAATAAATAAAAGGCAAAAATGACACTTTTGTTCAACGTGGTTTGGTAAAAGCAAAAATGTAACAAGGAAGAAAACAAAACAAAACAATGAGGTTATGGTAGTGTTTGTATGTGTGAGCTGGTATATAAGCATCTGAGACAGGGCTTCAGGTAAACAGACTGGTCCTTTATATATCCTGGTATGACGTTGTGGGAGCCGTGTAGTCCTCCTCATTGCTCCTGCGAATACGAAAAAGATAGAATACCTTTAATTTTTGGGAAATTTTCAGACACACACACACACACACACACACACACACACACACACACACACACACACACACACACACACACACACACACACACACACACACACACACACACACACACACACACACACACACACACACACACACACACACACACACACACACACTTAATTCTTTTCCTCTCTTTCTTAACTGGTCACCGCAGCGTCTAGGTGAATGCACTGTGTGTGAATAATGGATGAGTTTAACCAAACAGCCGTGTTGTTCTCCGTCACAGCTGAGGGCTCATCTGGCCAGACAACGTCCTCTCAGTACAACACACAAACGTCTTGAGCTCAATCATAAAGTTTGCCGTTACCTGTCAACTCTCTTTATAAAAGCTACTTCAGAAATGCAAGTCGTCACAAATTCCCTCATTTAGAGGGAAACGTTTCTTCCTTGAGGGCTACTGTACATGTTTAAACTACTCACAAGGTTGAGAGCTGCCAAGGATTATAATTAATTAGGGGGATGGATCAATACTGGATGGAAAGGAAGGTTTTAAGCCATAATGTTGCAGGAGAAACTGAAGAGAGGAGAGAGAAGTGTAAAGTTAGGAAGCTAACAGAATGTTGCTGTATTGATTTTCTTTGACTAGAAAACGAAGGATGACAGGATCAATCCTTTAAACAATGAAGAACTCGTTAACAGGGTGCTGAGTGCTGCTGGTCTTCAAGAGGCCATCCCTGGAAACAGAATTGTTCCCACAGATGCCAAACTTACTCATTTATTGCATCTAGTTGAGAGTAAACTTGGATCAGACAAGTTTGTACATGTTATTCTGCTACCACCTGAAGCAAATTACGCACTCATGCATACTTTGTACTTTAGTTAGTCAGTCTCTCACCAGGATATCTGTATCTATATCTACCTATCTATATCGAAATTCACATGAAATTTGGTGGAGAGCGAGGCCTTGGTCCAGGGAACAATCTGTTGAATTTTAGTGGTGATTTGAATCTGGAAATTCTGACCTTGAATGAAAGAAATCCAGATTTGATTCCACTTCCTAACGATATGTTTACAGTGTCAAGAAGTGACCGGGTGTTTGCTCAAAGGGGAATACCAGATTTTGCAATGATGTGCTTGATGAGACGAAGCTGCAAACTCAAATCTATCTATCCTTTGTAACACTGAGCCTTTGTGATCGTATATACTTTTAACAATTCAACATTTTAATTCAAAGTTTTACTTCACTATAAACTTGTTCTGTTTTTAATTTGGCATAATAGTTATTAGGCATTAAGAGTCTTTGTGTTTCCTTCTTCACCCAATTATCTCTATCATCCTGTCTTTTTATGATCCTTTATACTTGTACTCTTTAGAATTCCTGTTTGTAAAAAGTTGTATACAAATAAAGTTACTAAACGACTGCAATAAATGGAAGTGACAGGAAGAATATTTGGCCTTAAAAGCAGGTTGCTCGATAGCAAAGCACTGATTGAGTTTGTGGAATAATGTGGCCACGTTTCCAGGCTAAACAAATCTTCATCATGTAAATCTATACAGTAATATCACAGCAACTGATATCAAACTATAAGATATATGAAGATATAGGCTCCTTTAAAGAAATGTATCCATCAGTCAGCTATTCCCCACAGTTTAGATTAAGGTGGTTTGTGGTTTGCTTCATTTCCAACAGGCACGCAGTCTTGTGTTTGCTCTGGGACCGTGTGGAAACAACGGAGTGAGCCTTTGTTTGTCTAAACACAATACAAGCTCCGCAGGCCGTCTTCTGATGTGGCTGGAGTCAGGGACAGGGCTTTAATACAAAGCTCGGCATTGCCTCAGCTGGTATGTAAACATTTAGAGAGAAATTTAATACTCTGTCTTGCACATTTGCTTAAGGCTTCGGGCCTTTGTAAAACAAAACACTAGCCTAGAATTACTGGCACATCATGACAAAATTATTAGAAAATGTTGTGCGGTCAAATATGAGTAAATATTAGTATTTTACACATGGACCAAGTAATGACTTTTCATATGATAAGATGAGATTTGAGGAGAAATTGAAGATGTCCAACTTTCACAGCATGGTTTCAGACCACCAGTCATAATAGAAATCAGGTACAAGGGACAGTTGATGCCAGTGCAGCTGCCAAAATGGTTATGTTATATTACAAGGCCAACAGGAAGGAAATTAACACAACAGCTGCTACAAGAGCGTCTGCATTCATTCGGAAAACAAAATAGTATGAGCAAAACACTTTTAGAGAGCCTGAAGTGGAAAAACAGCTTATACTCTGTGTCTGTAAAAGAATCTGCTGCAGTGTGACTCAGTCCTGACTAAACCGATAGTACCAACAAGGCCTGTGTCTCTATGAATGGTTGTATGCCAGGCATCTATTACTACCTTGCTACTGAGCAGACGTGAGAGCATTCTTTGTGTCAACGTGCAGTGTCAGGAAGACATGCTCAGGCCTGATTCAGCAAGCCAAACCTCCTGCTAAACACCTGACTGTTGCATAACGTGGGCATCTGACTAGTAGGGCAGATTGACAAAAAGCCTGATTCCTATCTTGGATCCTGCTACTGTGAGAAAATTTTCACTTCCTTGCATTTGGTGTCTGTTCCCGGCTGGTCAGGAGTTCTGACAATCACCTACTGAGCTCAGGGATGAGAGTCTGTGCCCCATTTCCAACAAGCATTTCAAGGTTAAGGTGAAAAATGTGGCTGTGAACACTAACGACACAGTGACAAAAACACCCAAGCTCTTCTTTTCAAGACCTACAAATGCTGGACTTGATCATAGCAAACTCACTATAGCATCCTGTCTACTAAATCCTCCAAACATGCTTCCAACACTCAAACAATGACTCAGTATCTATGATCCCTCAGTTGCAAACCAAGAAACAGTAGCACCATTTGCTGCTGACAGGTATCCATCATTGAAACGAGGCAACAGACAGCCATCAGCCCCGAAAACACACACCATCTGATTGGATGGAGACAGATAATTATTGGCAATGAGCATTCACAGCCTGGTCTGACACCAAACAGCTGCACATGCGGGAAAAGGAGCTGTGGTTTTGGCTGTGGGTTGTTCAACACCTCACCTTATTTCCTCTTCTTTCAGCCTGCGGGCTGCCTGCTTTGACTGTTTAATTTGCAAGTCCAATCTGTGTAAGAAGTCTTTGGCTGACAGCTCCTCTGGCTGCGGGGGTTTGGAGTCCGCAGGGGGCGGGGAAGGGGAAGGCGAGGGTCCCTCAATATCCTGCGTCACAATACAGGGTGTATCCGTCTCCTGGCATGCTGCTTCACCGTCCCCGTCAGGAGACTCCGGAGACAGTCCATTAAATATGTAGCGCTTCTCCGACACTACGGGGATGTTGAGGCTGTTCCTCAGAAAAATGCAGTCATTGCTGAACAGCTTATTGGCTCTCTTGACTTGTTCCATCTGGCATATCAGGGTGACAGAGAAAATTACAGAGTTAAAAGTGTAATTTCTGTGACCTGAGAACCAAATCATCTTATCTTATATATAAATATGTGGTGTCACTGATATAAATAGAGTTGCTTTTATTTTGTCCACATGACAGTGTCAGTCAGAGATAATCTTTTTAAATCTGTGCAAGTGAACCAAAAGTACTTGGTTTTCGTTTTATACATGCATTCTCAACTGGAGAGAAATAGTCTTAACAGCATTTAAATTATCTTTAAACATAAACTCTCCACTGAAACTATACTTTGAGATTACATTTATGTAATTCTGTCTTTAAATTAGAGATTTATTTTATTGTCAAACAGTGAATTTTAAAATGTGCAAACAGATGTTTCAATAGATGTTGTTTTGACTGTATTTAGTGGCAGTGTTGTTCAATCTCAGTCAAACCAGCAGTGGATGACTCATGACAGGTCAATAATGCGATATTTATTTAAAAAGTAGAATAAAGTAGAATAAAGTAGAATGCAGAATACCTTTTAAAATAAAATCCATCCCTTGAAAGTATCCTGGGGGAAGGATTATTATACTGATTAGGTAATAATGAGGACCCGTTTTTGTAGATATTGGTGTGAATGTGCATTTAAATGACACACAATGAAGCTTGTGCTTTCTGGGGCCAGTGGGGGTCTTGGAAAACTTGGGGCCCCTGGAGGCAGTTGCCATTTAACCCGGTTGGTAATCCAGCACGTGGTTGAAGAAATTTTTACATGCAAACGTGACAAATCATTCACTTTCTATCAGCTGTCTAGACTCTGCTCTGACCTTGAATGTTGTGTGCAGGAGCAAGACTGAGCATTACGACCCCCTCTAAGCAAATACTGTGTGTCCCTATTATCCATTATTATGTATCTCTTGTGGGCTCTCAGATCTGTCACCAACTTTCAATTCACTGGTGTTGGCACATGTTGTTACATTAAAGTTAAATCAAGAAGTAAGGCCTTATTTCCACGAGATAAAGTGAAATACAGAAGTAGTCTGAATGTATTTGGGTCAAACCTCCTTCACTAGGCCTACAAGATGCCGCAACATTGATATGATTTGACTTTTAAAAGGGGACAGCTGCTGACAGACCAATGAATTCAGAAGTGATATATCCGCCTGATGGGAGACAATAGAGGTGTGATGTTGTGGTTGGCTCCCTTTGTCTTGTCAGTGAAGGGTTAATCAAACTAATTGATCACATATCACATCAGATCCACCTGTCAAGGTGAACACCAAAGCATAAACTAGCATCGCAGTGGTTGTGTGTGGCCAAAACCTTACCGTGACACCGTATTTGAGAGCAATCCCTTGCAGGGTATCACTGTCTGTAACCCGATGCTCTATGTATTTCTCCCCCAGTGAGGCCGTGACGCTAGCTGTGCTTCCGTACGAGCGGATCTTGGTCCGGGCCAGGCTCTGGGACAGTTCGCTCTCGGATTCGGAACCGGACCTGGACCGAGGGAAGATGGGCTGCCCGAATCGTCCTCCTCCATCCCGCATCGGCAGGACGGGCGAAAACTCCGCCATCTTCTCTTGAATAAATAAAGAGCCGGATTTGCCTCTGTGGGCTTTAACGCTCCGGATGACTCGCTGGGGTAAAGTGAATCGCTATTTCAGGCGGCAGGGAGGTTCCCATCCCCGGTCATATTCAGCATGTCAACCCGGGGGATCAGAGACATGTTTCGGGGACCACTACCTCACGGCTCGCTTTTGTCATAGATCCGTTACGTTGACGTAAAAAAACGTACAGAACGCACGGACGTCCAGGAGGAACAACAATAATAGCGTTTCCGGTTGCACTTTCAAAATAATGAATGATATAAAAGCGTGTTGACATTATTTAAGGTTGAGAAGTAGGAAATTGAATTAGAATTATTTGGAATAAGCTGTTAACTAAAGATGCTAAATTGACCTACTCGTCTAATTTTCATGATAAAAGAGTAGTTGCTCATTCCGGTAACTTTCTGCATAAAAAAAAATAATAATAAAATGAAAGGCGACACAAACTAAACTATTTTACGATTTGTGTTGATAATAAACTGGTTAAATTTGACAGTGTACACTGTTCTTGCATTATATTCGTAACTCGTTTTAAACCGCTCCATTCAGACAACTTCCTCCTCCTCCTGTTGTTGTCTTCAAACGTGTGTTTGTGTTACCAACCACAATCCAAACATCAACATATATTCTTAAAACTGAAACTACAATACAACTGATTATCTGTCATTCAGACATTCATCACACTGTTAAGATATGACAAAGTGCAGTTCATTTGCAGAGCAGACAGTTGCTGTTGTAGTCACCTTTGTATGTAGTGATACATATTTAGACACCAATCACCATAATTGTTACATTAATTCATTGTTTATTAATACTATGCACCACTATATCACAATATTCACTGAAATGGGACCTTAAGGCAGGAACTGCATTAGTACCTCATCTTAGGGCTTCATCTCGTAAAAGGGCCTGAATTAAATCTAGTTTTAAAGGTTCTATTGTTTCAATATCTTTTACTAAATAAAGTTAGCACAAACAAATTATTGCTCTCTAACTAATACAAGGCTGACTGAAGAGTTTGGATTCTGATATGCTACTTATCCGTTGTACCAGAAAGATACTGAACAGTAAAATAGTCCCTCATGAGATGACGAGCCTCAGATCCAAGACTGAGCTTAGTTAAATTGTGTGAGTTTTCTTGTGTGACGCATAATGAAGTAGAGAGATCCTTTCACATTGAGTGGATACATTTAGCAGGTCTCTGTGACCACTAACCATTGCATGTGACATCTGGAGCCGGTGCTGTTAAATGCAGGATGACTTTTTCTGTGAGAGGAACCTGGTTAAGAGTCTTATGACCAATCATGCATAGAAATAACCAGTTTTTTTTATTATCATCACATGGTAAAAGCTATAAAAAAATATTATTATAGGGATTTTCCCAATCTGGGATATTAATGTCATAAAGTTAAATGAGGACCTGACTGTTTATACACTAAACAGAGTTTTTCCATATTCCCTGAAATCATATTGATTATCATGCACACTGGCAAAATATCCCCCTTTATTTTTAGAATAGAAAAGAGGAATGAACTTGAGGCGGGGCAGTTTCTGTAAAAAGACTATCATAGATATATATTTTAATCTTACACTCCATCAAATAATGGTTTTAAGATTTCAGTTTCAATATAATCATTGTCATTTACAGTCCATATTCCCTCTTTCAAAATCATGTTTGGACCGATGTGACAGGATTTTGAGTGCTGAAAGTATATTCATGTTCAAGGATTTATAGTCACTGTATGTTTTTCCATTCTGACCTCTAGATGGTTGTAATATTGTTTTATGCCAAACTAATTTAGATTTTATGTGTTTGGTTATATTATTACATTGTGAAAGTCATTTTTCAGTACACTGTTGTTTTCATTTACACAGATGATAGCAAACATAAATGACTTTTTCTACAGTATGACAATAAAATCCTTATTATCTTATCTTTTTTTCCAACTAGTGTGATGACAACCGGAGCATTATTATCAGATATGAACCTGCAGCCTTTGAGAGGTCAGTTAATCATTGTAGAAGAATGGCAAATAAAAGACCGTAAATGAACAACAAGACAAATGCAAGCTGAATAATCGCCAATATGTGAACTCGGACAGTGCTCCTGTCATTATGTATTCATTACAGGATAGCTGGTGTAAATTTTCACTGCCTCCTGTCCCTGTCGTCTGTGCACTTGTTATGGCTCATGATTATTTAGTACCCAGAATGGTACTGAATTCCCTGAAGTTCTCCTTTTTGAATCACTCTGTTAGGAAGTTAAAACCATGTGATTACTCACAGGAGCATTGTGCTGGCAGTGGAAAGCAACGATGGTACATATATTATTAACATATTATGTAATTTTAATGTAATGTTGGTGAAAGGTAGTAATATGTAATTTAACAGGAGCACAAAGACTGCAGGTGCTACTTTGGGATACACAGGATGTACCTCCATGAAATCTAACTTGCTGAGGAACAAACACTGGGAAGCAACAAGTGGATGCATGATCTCTGAATGAATAATTCATTCAATTAGTCTCTCTTGGTTATAGATGATGCTGCAGTAATCTCACTGTCTGGCATTTTCTAATGGAAATCAGGTCATTAAACTTATGAGTACAAAGAGAGAACAGGAGGAGGGAGCTCAATTCATTAATTAAACATGATGTTCTCAATGTGAGATGACACTTTTTAGATTGAACTGCAAATCAGTCCATTATTCATGTTGTATTTGCTCCAAATCTTTTGGACTTGACTTATCCAATGCACCTAGGTCAGTTGATGTTGCTGCTTCTATGTTAAGGGAAAGGTGTAAAAAATGCTAAAATTATCTAATTTTCCAAACCAAAATTGTATTGGTTTTAAAATCTATATCTACAGTGAGCTCTACTCAGGAGTCATAACAACATCAGAAGATTACTTTTGCAGTCTAAGAATCAGATTCCTTCACTTGCCTCACTCCACCCTCTCTTCCTCTTATAAGCAAAAAGAAACTAAGGAAACTAAGAGGGAGGACAAGCAACAACACCGTGAGTCATCAGTCACAACGTTACCTTGACGACAATCTCCTGGTCCTGCAGCACCCACAGGTCTTGGGAGAGAAGATTTTGCAATCAGTGGATATCACGCTTGCAATCAGTTCAAACCACATCTGATGAAGCCTGTATGACTTCAGGTTTTATGGTGTTGTAAGGACAGAAGTCCATTTCAGTCTCTAGTTGTTGGAGAAAGATTAGGTAGATTGACCAAGTAAATCAGACTTGGGAGCATTTGTGTGCCAATTATACAAAGTTAAAAGATCACACTTGTTGCACATGTTAAACTACTGTGTGTGGATTACAATAAAAATGAAATGTATGCATGTATCTATAAGGTTAATAAGGTTGGATAGAAGTTACTCATCAGTACCCTGTCACAGAAAACAGGATCAACATGAGACATACAGGAGGATCTCTTTCTCTCTCTCTAATGTCCACAATAATGTCTTTTTTTTTTCTCCTTCCCCCTATTGGACATTCTTTGTTATTGCACTTGTACCAAATCCACCAGATGGTGCCATTTAATCACCAGTCAATCCTGCAATGCTTTGAAACACATCAATGAAGTGAAATGTGCCTGTCTTCGATAATTTGATGCTTTACAAAACATGTAGATGCCCAGTACATTTATATTACACACACCTAAGAAGAATGGGAGCTTCTTTGTTGTAGGGAAGTGGCTGGTTTAGTTTGATTTGGTTATATGCATAACCTTCTGTTGTGAAGGGCTGTTTATCTATAAATATTTAATAATGAGTGCCATTATGAAAGACTAATGAACAACCACAGTTCAAGTAATCATAATATTGTACCATTTAATCTGAATACTGGGGAATAAAATGCTAGAGGGAGACACTCCTTCATGTAATGGAAAGTAATGGTTTATAGAAGACTTCAAGAGCCAGCCATAATTTTAAAGCAGTGTTAATAATTATTTTTCCACTCCGAATGGGGATTGCACCGGCAGTTTCATTCGGCAGAATGTGTTAGACATTATGAGGCTGAGATAACTTACTATTTTTAACACAAAAGGAAGGAAACTAATACTACAGTGCTGCTTTGGCTGCTCTGCAATAGAGATGGCTGTTATTCCTGTTAAAGCTGACATTCAGGACAGGATACATCTTTTATACATTAGAGCTTTTCAAAGGTCACCCATACATCTTCCCTGAGCTCACATTTGAAAGAACAATCTTATAGAAACAATGATCCGTCTCCTTTTAGACTAAAAATTCACTTAGCCCTAACAGTGTCATAGGTTCAGATCCAGAAGGATTGGATTAAACACACACTCACAGATGTTGCTTACTTCTTCTGTAGGTTCACTGTTTTCAGTTAGGGCAATTACATAACCCAGTCAGGTATGAGGCAGTGTTTATTGGACACCGGCGTCATTGCTCTTTTGATCCAGATAACATGTCAGCTCTTACCTTAAGGGGCTTTATCAGAGCACAGTGAGTTCAGCTAGATATTGCTGAGGATTTTTTATATATTCCTTACCTAAAACGAGGGGGTACGTTAAGTTTTTTCATCTGATTTCCTCTAAAATAAACCCAGTGGTATATTCAATGAGCAATTGACTCACACGTTTTGCTTGGCTGTCCGTGAGTGGCCTTCCCATTATCTCCTCTCTCTTGTAATCTGTGAGCCTTTGTTTACCAAGCGCATGAGGTCATGACAGAGAGGGACTGCTGAGATCGTTGTTCAGGGCAGGGCTGACTCAGTACAGCGCTCATTTCTGATGGAAAATCAACTGCGAGACTGGTGAACATACCTGTTAAAGAACAAAGCCCCCTTGTGAAAGCTGGCAGAGAGGAAGGGCAGAGGGAGAGAATAAGAAAACTCTGATATGAAGCCATGGTGACGTGGTATAGATAGATAGATAGATAGATAGATAGATAGATAGATAGATAGATAGATAGATAGATAGATAGATAGATAGATAGATAGATAGATAGATAGATAGATAGATAGATAGATAGATAGATAGATACACTTTTAATCCTCGAAGCGAAACTGGGTGAAGTTTATATCTGTAAATGTACGACATCTGTTGCCTTTTTTTTTGCATGACATAAATTCATTTGGAGGCAAGTCGACGCTGGTGTTGGAGTCAGTCCAGTGATGTTTAATCCTTGTCAGCATCACTTCCTGTGTTAATCCAACCTCCTGACCAGCAGCTGCATTAATATCACAGTTGATCACTCGGCCTATGCCAAAGTGCTGAGGAGAATATCATCCATTCAGTTACTGATGGGTTTGTTCAGTTTTTCATTAAGAGTTAGTGCTTTGCTTTACCAGGCTTTGTGAGGTCTAAATTCTCCTGTACTGTCAGAATGCAAAATGTAGGTTTTAGATGATCCATGAATATCTCCTTGAAGGCTTCATCTTCATGGACTGCAGGAGACTGCCCCTCCCTTTTTTAAAAACTAAAACTAAACATAACATCCTATTTATGACTTTCAACATGAACCTCAAACAAAGACATGTACTTAAAGTTATAGTCTATTTTGTCCAGATGCGGAGGAGCAGTGCTTATTAATAGTCATGGTCTGAGGGGACAGTTGTACTGTACTTACATAAGCGCACAGCTGTATATTTTACTGTAAGATTCTGATTCTAGGTTTGGATTTTTCCTTTGAAATTGTGCCTTCTGGTGTGATTAACAGACATGACATAAACCTGCTGTTCTCGTTCTCTCTATTCTCATAGAGTGGAAACACTTGAGTCACTCACACACACACACACACACACACACACACACACACACACACACACACACACACACACACACACACACACACACACACACACACACACACACACACACACACACACACACACACACACACACACACACACAACCCCCCTCCCCGCCACAGTTCACTGCCAGCAGTGCAGAGTTTTCTCTGACAGCAGCTCACCGCAGCGCTCTGGCACAGGAAACCCAGAGAGGGATGGAGTCATATACATTACATCATCTCTCAGGCATGTGCAAACAATCTAAAAAACTGGATCTGATTAAAGGGTGCATACGTACACCACCTAGAATACCTCCCAAACCAAAAAGGCCCATCAATCTGTCAAATACAGTTTAAACTTGAGATGTGGCCAGAACCAGCTTCAAAGCTACACTTCCATGGTTGCACACACAGTTGGGCAGAATTTTACCTAATGCTAGGAGCATGTCGGTCAGCCAAACTGAAATACCTCAATGTCTGGTACAGAGGAGGAATCATACTGACTTTGGTTAACCCAATGACTTCCCTTCCCTGGGTGCCACATTCAGGTGGCCATTTTTAAATTTTTTGTGATATGACAACTATTAAAGGCCCAGTGTGTAGAATTTAGTGGCATCTAGCAGTGTAGTTACAACAATACATTTTTTTTTGGCTTTTATTGCCAGCTGCAAGACAGCCATAGTGACAGCTGAAGAGTGGCTGGAAAGGGGGGAAAGAAAGGGGATGACACGCAGCAAAGGGCCACAGGTCAGAGTCAAGCCCATGGCCGCTGCAGTGAGGATTCAGTCTTGGTACAGGGGGCTTCTGCTCTACCAGGGGATCACTATGTTATCATTCTTTCTTCTTTGCTGAGCTTTGTGATCTCAGGTTCAGTACCAGGAGCCGACCGCATGATGAGCTGCTCTCTTTGTAAATCAGACGCTCAATACACAAGCGTGCAGCTGCAAACTCAGCAACTCTGCACTTTGCAACTCAGTTTTCTTCTGGCCCAGAATGTCAGGCAGAATTATGAAAATGGAGATGTCTAGAATATAACTGAGCTTCATTTTCAGTTTTATTATTGACCTTGGAAAAGAGTAGTTTGACAAAAACTTCTTCGCAGGGTCTACTTAGTTTAAATTCTGTGAGCTTTCAGTCGCATTTGGTGGAGTTAAGTTTGCACCTTTGTCAACAACTGAGCATTTCCATGACAACTGAGGAAAGAAGAAATTGGGTCAATAAGCCATGCTGTATTAATAAGTTTTAAGGATTCATTAAAAAAAGACTAAATGCAAAGAATACAACATAAAGAGTAAACAGAGTATGTAAAAACATTTATTGTTGAGGATGTCTTAAATTCAGCAGTGCGTTTTACCAGTCAGGTTTTATAATAGTACATATTCCTTATGTTGCGTATACACCTGGATTTTGATTTAAAGTACAAAAAAAAAATCTCAGCAACAAGTTGTGTAGCTTTATGTGGCACACACATAAAAGTGTGTGTTTGAGTAATGTGTGTGCACTTTGAATTTGAGATGGCATTTTACAATTATTATACATACAGTATTATGAATCAGATTATTCTCAACAAGCCCAAGCAAAGAAGCAGTTTTCCACTTTAGCTGACTATCCACCAGCAAAGCACAGTAATGTAAAAACAAAACAGTTCAAGAAGAAATACTAGCAGATATGATATGATCATGGTAGAATACACAGATATAAAACCCAAAGTACTGAACTCAGCCATACAACTCTGGTCCAAGGAATGTGAGGTTGTTAAGATGAATGAGCATTTTTGGTCGACAGAAACATGATGTTCACAAGTGATGACTTCATGCCAGTATATTGTTCCTATTACACATAAACAGTATATACAAGTTTCAAGTAACTCCTGAATTAGTCCTGTTATACAGATCTCAAGCAGGTTAGTGTACCTATGGAAGTTCAGGTTGAGGCACACGTAGCATGTTACATACACAATGAATGGCATGCTACTGCTGAGAGCCAAGTGAAAGTGTGTGAGGGAGTAAAGAAAACTAAAATTTACGATCTGTACAAGACTTTCTATCTGGGAGATGTAGTTCATAGAAACATTTCACAAGTACTCGCAACCTGAGAAGTTTCACACAAACTGTTTGCCAACTCTTCCTCACATCTCACTGAACTAGCTGCTGAACATTGTGCAATAAATGGCCGACAAAATGGAATGTAGAACAAAATGCAATGGTAAGGTGGGATCTAAAAACAAATATCTAGATTGTTGTTGTTAACCCACAGACTCCTTTCCCAGATCTGTACAGTGAGGAGGTGACTGTAGCTGACAAAGTCAAGACCTGAACCAATAACCATTATGTTCACTATTGATACTTTAAGAACTGCATGTGTTAGTCTTTGGCATGGTTAAGCATCAGAGAAATCCAGTGTGTTGCGCAGACATTTACAGCATCATTTGTAAGAGCAGATCAAAGCCTCTTCAGTCTAGACTGGGGTTAATATCCTGTTCCTTTTACAGTACAATCCCTCTTTTACTTGAAACCCTGTAATAATTTCCTGCCAAGGGATATAAGTGATCCAAAATACCCACCATCAGAGTTTAAACCATATAAAACAAGATATTTAGTTAGAATAGAACAGTAACGTAGTATAAAACATTAAGCCGTGATACTTTTTCGGCCGACTACAGTATGAGGTCAGCACACACTTAACCGTTACACACTAGCCGACAGTCAAGCTTGCTTTACAAGGCAATAAACAACACACAACAGCTGCAAACCACAATGTAAGATGGAAAGTACAACAGTGGTCTGATCAGCAACATTAGACACACGAGGCAGCCGGTTACTACATGGTGACTTGTGTTACCTTATGACAACTTGTGTTATCTACAGCTGTACAGCCAGACAGCGTTCGCAGGGCTAGTAGTCATGGCTAAGTTATAATAACTCTGTATGCTATCGCCATCGTTCTAATTATAAATTCCACAGGGTCAGTACAAGAATACTGGAAGCTTAGGCCTCAACAGCAAACTCATCATGGTAGAGGATTCAGGGTTTTTTCTCAATGTTAGTCATTGTTTTTACAAAGCTGTTACTGTTGTTTCTGTTACTTGGTAATGTTCATGGTTATTTCACATGATTATAGCATAGTACAAAAGGGGGGGAAAAGAGCAAGTAAAAAGTCTGGACAGAACATATAAAGGCTCAAAAAAGGGAGCAGCTGAAATGAAATGACTAAAAACTAATCAGATTTACACCTTCAATAACAACATAATAATGAACATAAGTATAAACAGGGCAATTCCAGTTATTTCCCTTCTTCTCAGATGTATGTTCTGGTTGAGCAGGCCTTGCCCCCTAGTTTGGCACAAGACTAAAGTTTCCACACAGTGAGATGAGACCAGGGTATTGGCTGAAATTATTCCACATGGTGAGATGAAACAACAAGATTGGCTGGGAGACAGGTCGGGCTCCCTCCCTAAAGGTCCCCTTCCACTCGCTTCCTGCGGACTAGAGAGGAAAAGTAGAATTAAGTTTCCCCCAAAAATCAGTTGATTGACACAGAGTAAAGAAGAACAAGAATGAACAACTGTAAACATGCCACACAACCTTCATCCTACACAGGCCTGTTAGTTAGTTTATCATAAAACACTAAGTGAGTCATCATGAGCTATGCGGTTAACTATTTCAACAGCATGTGTCAACGTGTACAGAAAACCAGAAGTGAGATGTCATCACTCTCAAAGCTGTATGATCACACCGTGTCAATCTCCATACTGTTAATGCAGTGAATGCTCCATTCAGACATTCTGCACTGACACACTTTTAGCCACACTCATGCATCACACCTTTGCTACCGCAACTCTGACAGGATGAGGAGCTAAAAGAGAGGAAAGGTGGTCACTGTGGACTGACGTCTCATAGAAAAAAAAACACTGTAAAAGGCACTTGAGCTGCTGAGATGTTGGAATTGTCATGACCCAGTCTCCCAAAGAGAGAGATATACCAGGTGGAAGCTAATGTGATGGGAAATGGCAAGTTTAAAGAAATCTCAAATTGTAGTCTTAAGTTGTCTGTGTGTGTATGTGTGTGTCATACCCAGGTCGTTGTTCTTGGTGATAGCTGCGGCAGCTCTGGAGCGAGGACCTTGCTGGTTGAAGTGGTAGCCAAACTTCACTATGCTGTTGTTCTCCTCCAACATTTTAGCTATCTCCATCTCTACGGTAGTACCCAGCTGCTGCCTCTGAAACACACACAAAAACATACAGAGGTTAAGATCTGACCATCAAAGTCACAACTTCATTTTGATTTATAGCAGAAAAGACTGTAAGACTCAGACTTGGACCAAAGATATATAAGGTTTAACTTCTTTTCCACTACTGGAAACGTTGTACTGGTCTTTCATGTTTTATTAAGGCAGTGGTTTGTGTTAGTTGGCATTTTCTTCAGCTGTACGCTGCATAGCACAAACATTTTATTCTACTTTAGGCTGCGTGAAACCACTTTTTTTTAAAACTGTAGACTTCCTCAGTCACAAGTACCCTGTAATCACCTACAGAGACCATGAATAATATGGCAATTCCATTGCAACGGCTGTGCATGTAGATGCAGTGGCTGGTAGACCCTTGCAACATTTTTGTTTTGAACTGTATTTATTTCCCACTTTATTGCGGAAAATAATAATTTAATGATGTCTGATTCGATTTGATTTTAAGCCAAAATTGTTCAAATCGACTGGACCAGGACACTTTGACTAAGACAACAGCTGTGCATTCAGATGATGCAGCCAACTCTCCTTCAAACTTCTCTTTTTTTGTTTTTATTGCTGAAACATTCTTTTTTTTTTTTTTTACGTTTTTTGGCCTTTTATTGCCTTTATTGAACAGTGACAGCTGAAGATAGACAGGAAAGGGGGGTAGAGAGAGAAGGGATGACACGCAGCAAAAGGCCACAGGTCGGATTCGAACCCGGGCCACTGCAGCAACTCCGTACATGGGTCGCCAGCTCTACAGACTGAGCTAACAATGATAGCCTACAGTTCATCTGAAAAGTCATTGTTATTCTACTATAAATGTAATTATCTTTTTATCTTTTTAATTTGTGTATGTGTGTGTGTGTGTGTGTGTGTGTGTGTGTGTGTGTGTGTGTGTGTGTGTGTGTGTGTGTGTGTGTGTGTGTGTGTGTGTGTCACAAAGCATCTGTTACCTGGTTGTCTATCTTGATCTCTGTGAGTGTGTCATTGTCTCGCAACGCATCAACCAATGCCTGCACCCCTGCCCCGGTGACAAAGTTGGACTCCAGGTTCAAACTTCGCAACGTCTTGTTCTCCCGCAGCATCTCACTGAACGCCTGGGAGGAGGAAGGAGGACATAAAACGAAGAAGTCAAAATATGAAGTTGCAATGTGTGAACAAAGCTAATAAAAGCCCACAAGCCACGCCCTCTCACCACAGCAATGGGGTCATTACTCCGTGTTGCTGCCAGGCTGAACTTCTTGACGTGCGTGTTCTTCTCCATGGCTTTGGCGAAGTCCTTCAGCGTGGGAACTGGAATGTTCTGGAAAACCAAAAAAAACACACCATCATTGGTCCAATGACACACACAGACATAGACACACACACATCTGTAAGCTTGTGTTTTTGTGTACCTTAATGTTGTTGAGGTTAACCTCTGTTAAAGAGCTGTCGTTGCTTTTTATCCTCTGCAGAGTTTCTTCTACATTGGTGGGATTGGGAGGCTCATCAAACACTGGGTTCATCTTCTCCCCTTTGATCACATCTAGAAAAGACACATGCAGAAGTCAAGATATTGATCCTTTTGGGACCTCTGAATTAAAAGAATTAATTTGATGATTGTACTTACTGTTGTAACCCTCTTTACTACTAGTCCCATCATATGTCTGACTACTGGTGACCAGTGTGTGAACACCCAGGATAGCTGCAAACAGAAAAACAAACCAGACTCAGTAACAGACTCAGTATGTTCTTCAGGGTTCAAAAATTCCCCAGTATGTGAATGAAGGGTGACCAATTCTAGAGGTCATAGCAGTGTAAGTGGTGTTATTTTGCTCAGTGAGCTCTTGTATTTCCTCATCATCACACAAAGTAAAGAAGGAGCCTTGGGAAAAGATAGTCAGTATGAAAGGAGCTTGTGTTTTACCGTCCAAGCAAAGACTGGGCTCCGGCAGAATGAAGGTTTATCACAACTACAACACTGTGTACAGCACACAAAGACACCCTCATACAGAGTTTTAATATTCAACTCTAAAAAGTACTTATTCATTCTTACCGGCTAGATCACACAGTTCTGTATCTGTGGCGCTGGACAGGGCTTCCTCTAATTCTGGATCAAGGGTTGTGACTTCCTGCTGGCATGTTTCTATTGGTTTCTGCTTAGGAATGAATACTTTACCTATGGAGAAAGAACGAAAGGACAGTGAAGAAGGAGAGCAGGTGATTCAGCCCTCATAAAAATGGGTAGGAATTATTTAAACATCAACACAGACAGATGAAACGGGTACATGCAAGTCGGGTGAGTGTTTTATGAGATGTTACACAAGCTCCCATTTCTATACAAAAAATAAATAAAAAATCCAAATTGTTAAATGTTGGTTGATGTGCCTCGCCATTCCTATCCTCTTGCCTTGTGCCTCAGTCATAAGACTGCATGACTGCCAAGTGCTGTGTGAGTGTGTGCCTGAAAGCAAATGGACACATTCCCAGATAAAGCAGCTGTATAATTAATATGCACACACAGCTTTGGAATTGACACAAACACTATTCAGGGCCTGTATCTCCAGTCACTATGCACCTTTTTTTCTTTGATATCAGACAGTGCGCTTAACAGCAGGACCTTGAAATGGTCATGACTCTCCTTTGCTCTTGATTTAATGCTTTCTTGCAATGCATAAGGTTGTTGATACTTACTGTGTTAGTCTTAATTACATCCACTGTAATTGAAAGTTTTTAAAAACATAAAAGTAATTCTAAGTCTTATTTAGGCCAGCATATTATAATGGTTAAAGAGGTGAAGTCTGCTGTTTAAATAAGTCTGGGCCTCCTGCTGTTTTACACAACATTCCCCAACCATCAGGGCTTCAGTCTAGCTGAACTCAGTCTAGCCACGACAACTACGGGATTGCCATGGTAACCTGTCTGAAGGAAGAAACGGAAAGAGCGAAGGAAGTCATGGAACAATGACTGGAGTCTAATCTAAACTGCACTGCTGGGGCAACAAACACTTGTCCAGCACTGGACGGAGAGACCATCCAGTGGGTGCCATTTGCTGCCTTTCTGTGAGCCTGTGTTTAAGAACAAAAACACCCCAAGAACAGGCCCTCCCTCTTTCCCTACTTCTCAGTCAGTCAAGCCAGTCAAATTGTTCAAACTGGTCCCTAGTGGGGGGCTCTGGCACTTCCTGGAAGCCAGTAAACAGTAAATACAGTCATAAGGCAGCATCCTGTGCCAGTCCCTCTGGAGCGACATTTAGCTCCTCAGAAGCAAAAAGAAGACATGGCCAAAGTCCTGTCATCTGTATGATCCCACCCAGAGGAGCATATATCATGGACTAAATGAGGAAAACACATACAACACTGTAGAAAGGCTGAGGGAAAATAGGCACATCAGTAACACAGTGTCTGCCTGTAACAGGAATATCAGACAATTGGGGCTTTAACTTGACACATTATTCAAAGATAATATGGATTCCACCACATTGATGTAAAATAAATTGCATGTTTTTTCCAGTCAAGGCAAGAGATTTTGTTATTCATGCAAGTAATTCCTTATGCTCATCACTGCTATTTGTGTAAATAAAACAGTTTCTTTGTCTTTTCAACACATGGTACGGCTCATTCTATTAAATTCCAATTTGGGTCTTACTTTTGTAGTTTTAGAAATCATGCTGGTGATGATGCTGTAACAGCAATTTCAGTCAGATGAGGCAAGAAATGTGAACGTCCAGAAAATCAGACAAGGAGTTAGATTACCTAAAACACATTATTTGAACAAAATCATGGTAACAATCCCTAACGGCACAGGAAAACAGTTTGTGTGCAACTACAGCGAGTGAGTCTGTAAACTGTCTGTAAAAAGGTAAGGTGATGGCAGAGGCAAGGAAAATGAAGATATAATGTAACAAACCAGTTGTAATAAACCAGCAAAATCCTGTAAACTGGACTATTATTACATCTGGACCGGTACATTTGCAGTAACTGATTTATTGCATTTGCAGTACCAGTTCCAAGTTATACATTAGTGGCCACTTATTTGGAAAATGCTTCAACTGAAAGCAATTCATAAGAAAAACCGAATAATGGAGGCATTTGGTATAGAGCTGCTGTTGCTGTTTGTTTGTGTGTGTTTCACTGGTGCAATAGCCACACCCTCCACTGTAACAACAAACATGATGCTTATCAGAATGGAAGAATACCTTCAATGCTCATTACAATAACAATAAATAGCTCTGACACATGATAACTATGTTAAACCTCAACTGAACAGAAGTGAACAATGTAATCAGACCACACAACTTCCTTTTCCACAGATAATCAACTTCAACCACCATCTAGCCAGAACTTCTGTATGTTAATAATGTTGACAAAACCCTGAAGGAGCTCAAAAACGAACAGAAGAAACAATAAAAAAATGTGGATTATAGAGAAGTAATAAGAAGGACTGACCAAATATCGTAACATTTAGCTGGTTAAAAGGTTGCCATAGTATTTAAGCAGACTGTTTTCCTCTGAAATTATGTGTTATTGAAAGGAGACACACACACACACACACATGACCACATTATTTATCAGCAGGGGGTGAGTATAACAAGGGGAAGAGAATCAGCTACATTCCTCAGAACCACCACAGTGATTTCAGTTTTCCATGTTGTCACAGGGTGCGCACACACTCATGCATTCACACTCACTTACACACAGAGAGGGAGTATAATTTCTAACAGGCCAGGGTTGGGTCAGGGGAAGATGTCAGTTCCATATTTCCTCTCCAGTGAGAGACTAGTATTCAGATCTCTGGAGATCTCAACAAAAGGAATTCCTCTGGACAAGAATTTTTTACCCAGTAATGTTTCTACTCTTTCCTCCTTTTTTTTCAGTCATGCTGTCACATAAAGTATCTCCCTTTTTCTCTCTTCTAGAAAGCCATTACCACAAGTATGTCTTAAAACCTGTTTGAATAGAACTGGTTTCTGTTGAGAAGATCCGGTTGTTTCAGTTTTCACAGCAACATGAATCCAATCCGGATCAGCAGAGGATGTTTATTTCACAGATATCTACTGTGTTGGGACAAAACTCAAGAATCCCCTGACAATTTTATTCTCCTTTGAGTAGACAACCCCATGATATCACAGACACAATGATGATGAATCCCACATTCAGTGCCTTGCGTCTTTTCACTCCTTCAATGCCAGAACTACAGGCACAGCTGCTAAAAAGCCTGATTATATAACTACGTGAGTATCACATACAACCACGTTCAACTGCTGTAAAATTATGGCATTAGGACTTTTTTGTACAGTTACGACACAAGACACAAGGTCCACAACTGGAGAATGCATCTTCAACCAGTGAGCCAACAGGATATATATGTTTATTGACATTTCAATCAATGAGCAAAGCCAAACTAAAAAATAAAGATCAACTCAAGAAATTACTTCCATTCAAATAAGGGTTTAGGCCCAGATTTGCATAGTTTTGTTTGAGAAAAACCTCAACTTGGCCCCCAGCACATCAAGTCAAGGTTTACTAATCTGAGTGGTTCTCAAAGTTGGTCCAAGGGCAGCATGAAATGGTGGCTCAGTGGTTAGTACTGTCGCTTCACAGCTCCTGGGTTTAAATCCCAGCTGGAGCAAAAAGTTTGCATGTTCTCCCTGTATTTGCTTGGGATTTCCTGCAGGTGCTCCGGTTTCCACCGCCATCGAAATGCACGTATGTTAGATTAATTCTCCTTTTAAAGTAGTTGTACATAAACCCTGACCAAGGAACTGGCTTTAGAGCTGGAATTGGTCCCTAGGCGCTTCATAGTAGTTGCCCACTGCTCCTAACACTTTAGAACTTTGCCCTATGGGGATGAATAAAGGATAACTTAACTGAGTCATTATTCATTTATTGTTTGATTGATTTTTAATAATGTTTAACCACCACATGCAATCATCAGCAACATCTACATTAACAATATTTCATGTTATGTTTTCAAACATATCAATAACAGAAGTTAAAAAAAACAACAGAATCACTGCATTAAAGACCATGCAGTTATGTCACAGCTAATCACATGACAATTCACTGTAGCTGGTTGCCATAGTAACAGAGCATGTATCCCAGCTCAGGAGTTTTTCAGGATATAATCAGTCAGACAACAGTGGGTGTCTGAACAATTGATGGAAAGAGTTGACAAAGTAAACAGAGCTCAAATAAACGCTGATGCATCTAATGGAAAAAAGGAACTGCAAGCCACCGATTGACTTGCAGCCTTTTAATTGCGCAAACGGTATTGATTACTAACTGTTTCAAATCCTGGTACATCTCCGCCCTCAACACGGTCTGAGACGACTGAATCTGGGCCGACCAACAAAACTAAAATCAAACTGAACTCTGCTTGGTTTAACAGCTTAACACAGAGGTTTTGGCTGCATGTGGAACACAGATATCCATCATTGACAGATAGCACATTCACTGTGGCATTGCACATTCCCATCATCATATATATGTGATCTGACTCTCTCATCTCTGGTATTTATGTAAACAAGACACCAAAGAAAAAAGGTCAGACCAGCAGATTTCATAGATTTCCTTTTGAAGGGGTACTGTGGTCTAATAAAGTTTATTAACTGAACCGAAAAATAAATCTACCAACTAAAATCAATAAACAAATAGATTCAAGACACTTAATCCTAACTTTGCCTCCTCCATTTACACTCCCTACCTCCTATCCCCTGGTACAAACACACCTCCCCCTCACTGCTGTATGTTGCATAAGAGCAGACATGCATTAATAATACCTGCAAAGACAGCAGAACAGTAATTACTGCTGTGTGTCTGTACTGCTGATACAGACACACCTCAGTTCTTCATCCCCTGAGAAATACATTACTAACATGTGATAGTACCACTCTACTGATGCTATTGATGAGGTATGGTAAAGTCATTTAATTTCAAGAGAAATTCGACATTTTCTCAGTTGGAAAACCCTTTGTAACATTCTCTGTGTTTGTCTATACTTTGCCTATAAAAAGTAAACCACTAAAAAACATGAAGACGGTGCTCCATTGTGGACAAATACACAAACACACACACATACCCTTTTTCTCTCCAGTGAAGGGCACTACATCCTCTCTATCCTTGTGCTCCATGGCTTCCTTCTCCAGGTATTTGAGGAGGCTATCCCTGTTGAATGATCCTGTTGCTGTCTTAGACGTCTGGTCCTTCTGACGTAAGCCCGCTGGGAGAAGAGCATTCTGAGGAGAGGAGACGAAGGCGATACGTTAGACCTGTCAACTGATGACGACTTTAATGCACTCACTATAGGCCTGGGTAAATGATAAGTTATGTTTTTGTTAGCTGTATCTGTAGGCCTTTTGGATAATGCTGTTATGCAGTAGAAAATACAGAGAAGACGTCAGTATGTCTTTGAAGCTATGCGAACTATGACTTCAGTATAACTCCATTTTATCCAAGCAGGTTGTTCTGCAAGCAAATGCCTGTATATTCCAGCAAGTAAACATACTATAAACTAGTTTAACTTGATGCATGTCAACCAAAAACCCATGGCTTTAAAGACCTAACATAAAAATGCAACCAGTTGTTGGCCACTACTAGGTAAGTGAAAACTTCCTGGAGGTGAACAAGCATATGTGAAACTTTTGTCTAGCAAGTCTGGGCACACCAAGTGCTTCTTTCTGTGAACACACCAAATTCTGTTTTGTCTATTTAATCGCATGAGATCCATAAATGAATACTGTCTGTACTATTGCTGCAGATTTCCTGTGGGCCTCTCCTGTGGGACACCATCTCGGGAGATTTGTCTCACTTAGTTTAGATGGAATTTAAATAAAACACCCAGCTCCTGGGAAGGGATGGGGCGGTCATTATACTCTACGGCACCACTCACAAATAAACACACAAACACACTTGGCAGTGGGCTGATAGAGTTACTGCAGCTAAGACTCCCCCCTTAAATTATTTCTCTAAACACAGAGGCCGAGGAGTGGGAGGTGTGGTTGAAGGGTACAAAGAAAAAGTTCACCCATGTATTTAAATTTGGGAAATTCAGTTCATTCCAGGAAGTTCACAGTATGTGATAATGTTTTTTGGTGCATTCCCTTTACCTTAATCTGCCTCAAACAATGCCCTATTTTCCTCGACAAGATGAAAAAAACTAGGTGTAATCTTTGTGAAAAGTATCTAAGATTGTAGTTCTGTCCCTTATATGAGAAAATTAATTATGTCTGCAAAGACTGAGATGAGATTTCACATTCTATTTGGCTGTTTTTCCAATAAATCACTTTGCAACAGGAACTCCCTCCCACTAAGGAGCCCTGGAGCTCCTCCAACCCTCATCGCGCCCTAACCTCAGGGTCCATTTCCTCGAGGGCTGTCTCCAGCTGTTTGAGCTCCTCTGCCGACAGTTTGTTGAGGATTTCATCTTCGTCGAGATCCTTGTACTTGTCCAGGTCCTTTTTGTACGACAACGCCATGGTGCTGGCTATAGCTTCCTAAGCAATATTGAAAAGCAGACCACAGCCACAGTGTTTCTTCTCGGGCTCACTGCTCCAAACCAGGGAGAGGCTACCTGAAGACAAACACACACAAGTAAACATTCATGATGATGGGGAATTACATTCCTTTTTATTTATCTGACTTAAACTATGTAACATAATTATATCTAAACTGATATTAGACATTGTTTATCTCATCCATGTGAAACAATAGTTAAGCAGAGCTGGGCTGGACAATGAGGCCTTGCAGTGATGCAACACAAACACAGCTGGAACAAAGGAAGAACTTTCTCAGGCTCAAAAAAATCCACTGACTGCTCCCTTGAGAATCACCAACAACTCTTAGGAACGCCAACGTTGTGCTACATTAAAAACATGATCAACTTTTAAAAAGAAATGAATGAAAATAATACGCTTCTTCTAATGGATATGAAAATGTGTATATGTTTCTTCTAGGGACTAAAGGCCTGAAAATAAAACAAACTATAACAGTGGCAGGAAATACTGGAGTAAACTCTTATGTTGATGTAAAAGAAAATAAAACCACAGTTAAGATTAAATAAAGCTCAGATAAGTGAATGAGTTAGGGAGTGAGTGTGTATCCTGTCAAACTAAATGAAGAGGCTTCAGCCCTAAATTCCCACTCCCACGCCACAGTCCCAACACAAAATGACCTCATGTCATGATTTCCAGATCCCCTGCAGGACTCCACAGATGGTCTTAGTCCTAATCACACACACACACACACACACACACACACACACACACACACACACACACACACACACACACACACACACACACACACACACTTCAATGTACACATACTTAAACTCTTCCTTTCACAAAATGGCTTGTTCATGCGATTCTCCAAAAAACACATTTGCAGAAAGACAGAGCTGCGTGTGTTTGCGTAAATACAAACTAGGAAGAATATTGCATAAGCCTCACTCATTCAAGTTGTAAAATACAGCACCATCTCTAGCAGGGGGAAAAAAACCCTGTGCTTCAACTGTGTGGTTTAGATTCTTTAAACATTAAGTGCCATTTCCCCGGAGCTGCCTGAGTGATTTCTCCAGTTCAGAGAAATTCCCTGAAGAGTCTGACACTGTTTCTCTCACTCTGTTCACTTCCTTGTCTCCACAATCCAGGCTCTGTCCTGAACTAATTCTTCCCTTCACCTCTTCCATTAGACCGCTGCAACTACACACATTTATTTCTGCAATGACTATGAGAGTCATTATAGGGGTATTGGCAAGCCTGGGTGCCGGCAGATGAAACTGGGCTCAAATGTCAACACTGATGACTTTACTCAAAGCATATGAACATAATGATCTCCAATAATAATCTCACCCTAATGTTCTACAATACAGTAGTTCAATCAGAAGGAAAACAGACTTCTTACAAATGATATGAAGGTCAAATTAGTATTTGTGAGGAACTTAAACAGGAGAACCAGCATACATCTAAATAAGCAACAGATTATAAACATCCCGTGAATCCAAATCATATGAAAATCATTTTGCATCCGCAAGAGCCATCTCTATGTTGGAGCAGCACCAGAAGTGTTTCTCATGATGTCATTACAAGCCCTTGTTCGCATGTTTTTGGAAAGGGGGAGTTTTGTTCATATTTCATAAATCAACACTGAGTTGTCCAGAGACATGATCAAGATATGGGGCTTTAATGTGATCATGACTGTATTCCCCCTTTACAGCTTGCCAGGTTTCCAGAACATAGAAACATGTTTGAAAATGAAGACTTTGATGTTTTCGGCCAAAAACCATCAACCCTTTTCATTTAAGTCCACTCCAGTAAAATCTTTGCTAGCCAGTGGGACCACATGGAAAGATTGGTCCTGCATCATATGAAGTTTGATTTATAACTTTCTTGGTCCTAATTTGTGTTAAATTACCCAAACTAACTCCAAGATGTGCAGAAGGCAATGATGAGAAGAGATTTCTGGCCAGGATCTGGGAAAAGCAGCGACCCCAGCCTGGAATAAGCATTAAGTCACACATATGGTACACACAACCCCACCCCCCACCCATCCACCCACATACACATAATGCTCTTATGACAAGCTCAGCTCAAAATAACACCATTTACGATATTATCCTACTTTCTTAAAACCACTTTACACTTCACTGACATATAATTGGGCACATGTAAAACAACAGCCATTGTTTACAGTGAGGTCCAGTACTTTTATGCAGGCAAGAGAGGAATGGAGCATGCAGACAGGGATAATGATGGCAATGGGAGGGTTCAGGCAAAGGCAGAGACACTGAGAGGATCCATTAGTCCAATCTGATTGATTCCTTTCTCCTTCTCTTCTCTGCTAATCCTTCAAGACAACAACAGATGGCTCGGAGCCAATAATACTGCAAACCTGTCTGAACTCTACACTCACCTCACACTTTCCTACACTGACCAGTACCCTCGGGCTACTGTTGGGAACATAAATAATTATTATTATAATTATTGAGGATTGCATAAGGACAGAGCCACAAATATCACAATGTAAGGTCACCTGATGGGGCTAGATGTTTTAGTTCCAGTCTGAAAGTACAAGTGATACAAATCTGGCTGATTTACACAAGATGTATGACCACATTCACATTTTAGTTAAGTAAAACCAAGACAAAACATTATCTACTGAATGTGTGTGACCGTGTATCAGTATCAATTTTAATCTTGAATGTGTGCATGACCTCAAAGATAATTTTTAATGCTGACTATTCTGCTTGTCCTATGAAATAATTTATCAGCAGGTCACAAGAAAGATGTTACATGATGTCACACTGTGTGGCTTTCTTTCTGTTTCTTACTGAATACTGATGAAATTATTTTAGAAAGTATATAATAGGAAAGGGGAAGTGAAATGCAAAATATCTGCTACTACCTTTGTCATACCTCCAATAAAGCTTACACATGTTTTAAGCAAAATGTCTGAACATGTTTCAGGTCAAGTATTGAGGCTTTATCTTCTCTCAAAAAGTGATGATGACAGACAACTTGATATCAGACACCAACATAGATCACTGGCTTGTATTACATAACGCTTACCAGCTAAAAAAAACAAGATACCAAGTTTATCTCTGTCAAGTAAAATTCTTGTAGTCGATATCCAGGACAGTTGCCTGTGCTACTTCAGATCTCAGAGGCAGAAATAGGATGAATAGTAACCTGCAGCTCTGCAGACATGAACAGGAAGCACTGACTGGTTATTACATTATTATAGAACACCACCCACAAAAAGACTATAGTTAGAATGACCCAGCTCTGCTACCCATGGGACAAGAGTCTGCACTTCCTCCTCCCACCTACTCTCATCCACTTTTTCTCTATCGTTCTGTGTGTCTCCACCCTGTTGTTGTTCAGTTCTCCTTTCTCAGGAGCCTCCTAAGGTGCATGTTAAGTGTCAGAACTGATACAAAACAGATGGATGAAGACAGAGAGAGAGCAACAGAGGGTCTGATCATGCTGTCACTAAGATATGTTCACTGTAGTAAGAAAATACGTTTAAAAAAAATAAGATATCGGTGTCAGGAGAATAACATTGTTAAATAGTTATGGTACAGATGTTTGGTCATTTATTACAAGACAACCAGGATTTATTTTTATTAGACACATAGTCATTATTATTTTTTCCAATTTAACAGTCAATAAAACTATGTGTCGGAAAAAGAAAACAATCAACATTTATGTTGTTCATCCACTCAAACTTTCTGTGCCTCCAGCTCTTGTACAAACCTGGCAAGGGCCAGACAGGATGTGGGGTGTTTCTCCAACAAACACACGTGATTTATATACTCCCCTCTTTTTAGCCGCACACTCCAGACACACACTCCATTATTATATAATGAGAACAGATTTCATGGGGAGCCCTGACTTTCAGCTCAGCAATGACTTGCAAGAGATATGATGTGAATAATACAGGTTCAAGAGAGGTTGCCACTTTCACTAATGACACAACTAATAACAAGTCACTATTCTCTCTGCAATGGCTGCATTATATCTGGGGTGAAACTAGGCACTCGCAGCCAGGTTTCACCCTCCAGGAGAAAAGTATGCAGGTTAAACAAACACAAATCCTACATGAAGAGCCTGTTTATCTTCCCTACTGTACTGCACTGCACCGGATGGTACAGTAGTGCAGTATAAACAACAAAAAAATGCCATGTCAGCAGTCACCATGGGCTCTCGGTCACAATACCTGGTTCACAGCTTCAAGAGGGCCACCTGCCTTCAGGCTTTAAAGGGGGAAAACCACACTTCCCCAAGCAGACGTCCTCCTTAAGATGTGGACCACACCCTGCATTCACGATTGAGCCTTGCTGGCCAAACTACCTTTGTGAACACACACACACACACACACACACACACACACACACACACACACAAACAACTCTAAGATTAGCTCTTGAACAAGGAGTAATGACCTTGCACCTATCCAACAAAGTAGTACTGCTGCTCAAACCACAGCCTTTCCCTAACGCACCACATTGGTGTGAGTCATCCCCAAGCAGAGGGACGTCTTCAACAACACTGAGGCGCTTGTCTTAGCCCAAAAGACAAACACAGACGAGATTGATGCCCTGTTTGTGAAATGTATTGTCTAGGCTGACAGGGATGGGCGGCACAGATTAAAATCACTCCTGCATTGCACATACATTTAGCAACATTCATGCACCATAAAACAAGAACTATGAACCTAACAGATATCAGAATCATTAAAGGATACTTAGCACTGCCATAAAATGACACATCACGTCGCACTACTCGTCTTATACACATCAAACACGTTATGTTCATGTGGTGGTTAGTTGGCTGCCCTTGCTTTAAAGAGTTTCATCCATCTCCTGTGCACACAGCGGGCTACGGAACGGCGTTAGCTAACTCGCTCTTGACATGTTTATGATTACTACGCTGACAGTAAACATGTTGATCGTGATTATCGTCGCCCGGAGAAAGGTACCGAACACCGGCTGATAGTTAAAGCCAGACCAAGCGGTGCACCAGACACTTTACTTTGGTAACTCAGCTACATTTGTCGGATACGGTAAAACACCATGAGAAATGACATGTAGCAGCTAGCACGCTAGCATTTGCAGTTGACTCAAGTTGCTAGCCGTTTAGCTAAAGCAGCACATCTACAAGTGACAGTGTGTAAAACAGTACGGCTAGCACTGGATTTACGTACTTATTCCCAGAAAAATCCTTTTCCTTACCTGATGCTAATGGGACGTAACTAAGGAATCTCCAAATAAAGCCAGTGTTCCCAATGAATGCGATGACTTCAGTGCCTGATTTTAGTCAGCCCAAGGGCGGTAACACAGGAAGAGCGAGCCAGAGCATTCTCTGAGTGACGTCTGGTTTGAACCAATAGACGGAGAGAATGCCGGGCGTGAGCCAATGGCGTGAATAAGCCCGCCCCTTTTATCTACAAGAGCCAATCAGGTGGGAGATGGGAAAATAAAAACTAAAATGAAAATAAAATGAAATAAAATTAAATAAAATGAAAATAAAATGAAATAAAAATGAAATGAAAATAAAATGAAATAAAATAAGAATAATACTGATCACTAGTTTAGTATAATACATTTTCATTTAACTTATTTGATCATTTATTCAGATCTGAGTGATTACATCACTACAACTTGATAAGTGTGTATCAAACTCCATCTGCTGTTGGAGATAATCAGAGGCAGTTGAGATTTTTTTTTAATCAAATTACTGGAACTCTAATTTCTGGAAGTTTAATTTTGGTTAAAACAAAGACGCAGAGCGCACTTCAATCTGAGAGATACCCTAAGATGAGTCAAATTTATTGTATAGCCCCAAATCACAATTTGTCTTAGAGGCCATTGTAATCTGCACAACATAGGACACCATCTATCCTTGGACTCTTGATTTTGATAAAACTCCATACTACATACACACACACACACACACACACACACACACACACACACACACACACACACAAAGGGTGACCTTTTAAGAGGAGATAAAAGGGAGAAACCTCTGGAAGAGAACAGAGCAGAGGGATCTATTTTCCAGGACGAACAGGTACACAAGTGTCATAGTAGGCAAAGGTGTCAGAGATAGAATTACATTATGAGACATACAAATATTAAGAAATAGAATTATAGTAATTAAGATTTAAACAATTAAGTTCAAACATGATTTCTTATGTTGAGTAAATGTCCAGTGCAATAAGTTGAGGTGTTTGAGGTAAAATGTAAAAGTGTCTGTGGATTAAAGAAGCTGTCAAGTAGTGGACTACAAAAAAAAAAACACAGACAACGTACACACAAAAAAGCAAAACTCACATTGTCACGTCGCCTTGTGTTTCTGGCTGCACCAAAAGTGCAGCGTTTACCTGATCTCCTATTACATGTAAAACTCTCTCTCTCTCTCTCTCTCTCTCTCTCTCTCTCTCTCTCTCTCTCTCTCTCTCTCTCTCTCCCTCTCTCTCTCCTGCTCCCTCTCTCCCACACAAAAAAACAGTGTGTACACTAAAAATCTTACCTTACCCTTGATTGTAAGGAGAGAGGAGAGAGGAGCTCATCCTCTTTTTACTACACTGAGTTACACAATAGTGGCGATAGAATTTCATGTACTCTCTCTTGGTCCACACAATATCTGCACTGTAACGAGATGCCTTGCATGTAACACAGAAACTTTGGCAAGAGATGTGGGTGCTGAAGCATATGTCAGTAGCTGCTGAAATCAGATGAATGATAGTAATCAGATAAAGGGTTTGAAAATGTCCTGAGGGGAAGACTTCACTTACTGCCTTTTAAGCTTATTCAGGGAGGCTGTTCGGAGACAGATCCCCTGGAATATGGCAGGAGGCATAATATAACCATTCACAGTTTATCCTGCCATAGGTTTAGGAAAAATGAAACACTGTTTCAGTAGCTGCCAAGTGAATCTGGAACAGGAATTTGGGGTTTTCACTGCAGAGCTGGCTTCAATCTAAAGATATATTGCTCCACCCCTTTACATGTGATGTTGATTAAAGCGGAGTACTTATGAAGGAGAAAGACTTTTCTGATAAACAACTTGATTAGGTAATCACATTACACACAGATGTACATATTTAAAGGTGAAGCCCCATGTTAATGGATAGAAGAAAATCTCTTTAATGCATGATGGAAAGAAACAGCCTGAAACGTTTTTCATTATTTAACTTATTTAAGCCTGCATGAATAAAACCCTTACACTTATATATTTATTTATTTATGTCTGGTTTGGTTTTTGTATTTAATACTGTGTCAACACCAATGTATACTTTTTGTTTTTATTATTTAAATATTCAATAAAGGTTTGTACTTGAATTTTGTGTGATAAAATGAATGATTCCAATAAGTCTAATGTGCATTAAAAGACTCAATAACTAATATTCCTATTGGAACTGTTGCATTTGTGTATTTACTTATTCATAAATTTTTTAATATAAGTTTTTTTCCACTAAAGCATGAGAATAAGATTGCTATTACAGACACATCATACACATGCCAATATATAATCGGTAACAAGCAAAAGACAGTAACTCAAATTTTGCTAAAATAAATACCCATAAAAACAAATAAAATTAAATAGAAAGACAGGTTTTTACATCACAGATTGTTTCACACATGAAATGCAAGATCCTGCTTTATAGTGTATTATAATAGGTTTACTTTACAAATGCAATAAATGACTTGCTTTGTCTCTTATTACTTATGGATTTTTGGCCACTTAATTATTTTGCATAAAAAAGGAAAAAATATTTCAAGGTAAAAAAAATATCAAACATTAAAACAACTCTTACACGCTTGAGTTTTTTCTTGATTGTTATGATTATTATTTTTATTGGTTATTATGTCATTCTTGTAATCATTCAATCATTCTTTGTAATTATCTACAACTTCAGCAAAACCACAATCTTAAACTCATTACTGTTTAATTTCTGTCAGCACATATTGTGGCAAATGTTTACATTTAGTTTGTATATAGGCTCTTAGGCTCTTATTGTCAGAATCAGAATCGGGTTTTATTGCGAAGTAACTATGTTTACACGTACAAGGAATTTTCCTTGGTGCATAAAAATCACACAAAAATAAAGCACTTTTTAAAACATAAATAAATTAAGATAGAAAGATCTCAACTGTACAGGAAAGATATTTACAATGTGCAATCTTATATTTCCATTTTTATTTTTACACTCATATGTATATACCTATACACGCATTTCTATTCTATATTTTATGTTAGATATTTTATATATATAAGTAAAGTAAATAAAGTATCTCTCATTGTGATTCTACCGTGGTGTAATACCGCCTCCTGTTGGCTGTTAACGCTCACTACACCAACATGTCCGCCTCGTCTTGAACTCGGAAACAAAACCAGTTTCCCTTCTTCCTCTTCCTCTTCCTCTTCTTCAGCCCCGGCAATCATTTCCTGTAGGTCACACTTTTTTTGTTTTTACTACAGTTTGGAAGAAATGGCGGACATGGATGAATTGTTCGGGAGTGATGGAGACAGCGACAACGAGCAGCGAGGTATTATTATTATTATTATTATTATTATTAATGTTATTATTATTGTTGTCTCTCTCAGTCTTTGTTTGGTTGTTTGTGGAGTTAGCTTGCGTTAGCTTGTTAGCGGCCATCGAGTTGTTGCCTGATGCTAAGCAGACATTAGCTTTGCCCGAAAGATGATCGGAGGGAAAAAGTGTAACCGGATTTGTTTCCTTGTCTTATGTCTTACAAGCTCGATCAGGATTGTTTTCTGAACGCCAGCTTGGTTAGGAACAAGCACAAGTTTATGGTCGGTGAAAACAGATGAAACTCTCTCTGTGTCTGTGTTTGAATCAGTTCACGATTATTAGAATAAAATTACAGTATTGATCAAACACATGTTTTGATCAGACAGACGTGTTATTGTGCAGCACGACTCTTAGTTTCTTTTGCAAATGGACATTTTTAAATGGAAAATCTGCTTAAAAAATGTGAGTTTATAAATCATTGTCACCAAAATAAAATTCATTTTTACTGTTATACTTATTACTTATACTATACTTGTAATAATTGCACATGTGCAGTTAGGTATACACTTTAAAATATCGTATGCACACAAGTTTTCTTAATGGCATATTGTATATAGTGTATATATTTTCATTATAGTTAATATTTTGTCTATTATATTTTTATTTTATTATTCATTGTAGTTTACATTTTCCCTGTGCTGCTGTTTCAAACTTAATCAACTCATTAATCTTATCTTATTGTAGCTAAAATGCATCTTGTTAGGGCTGCACAATTAATTTAATTATTATCGAAAGTGCAATATGCAGAGAGTGCAAGTATATATATATATATATATATATATATATATATATATATATATATATCATACATACATATATGCAACTCCACAGTACTTTAAGTATAATATATATATATTATAATAAAGTACTGTGGAGTTGCAGAGGTGCCCTGTTCTACAAATCTTGTTCTCCAGATTTAAGAAAACATATTTGTTTGGTACAGACGCCCAATAATGTTATATCATCATCATTTTAGTAATTGCTGAGGGTTTTTTTTTTGTGAAAATTCTGCTTTTGATGCAAAAATCATCATTCCCACAGCCAAAAATAATCACTATATGATGTTTTTACCATATATAGCAGCTCTACATCTTGTCAGTGTGAGTGTGTACACTTAAATTGTATATTTAATTCTTCACTGAGCCTACAGTATATGTATTAAGTTAGTAGTTAAGTCACTTTGCAGCCAACTAAAAGTAACAGTCCGGTCTCATGCCATACAATCACCAGTTTTAGCTGTAAAATGTTTATTCAACATTTTCACCTATCCAGTATGTAAGTTGTTCACAGTGTGCATTGGGAAGAAAGCCATGAACAAAATCCTTTTATCACAGTATATGTTGATGATATACAGTGGCCACTTTATTAGGTACACCTGTAAAATCTAATGCAACAACTCAGCCAGAAATGCTACCTTTATAAAGATACATTTTAATCAACACTGTCAGAGAGGTATTCATTTAAAGATATGCTTAATGTTGAGGTTGAACAATTGATAACAATTTAAATCTAAACCTCCTCCAGAGACTCACTGACCATTCACATCCTGCTATCTGTATTTTTTACGTGATATTTTCCATTGTGGAGAACATATTTTGGCATTATGACAAAATCAGATTACTTTCACTAAATTGATGAAACATTTATGGTTTTGACGGTTGAAATATTTTGAATGCGTTAATAAATGGAGCTGGGAGAAAAACTAATTAATTAGAAAAGCAATATAATCTATTCTGATGTGAAAAGAGAGAAATCTACTTGCACTGTT